GGTTACCTCGAGGTCATGTGACATCTAACAATGAAAAATCTCCGAGGGGGCAACATTGCAAAATCTATGACCTCAGGGAAACAAAAGGAAGGATCTTAAAGAAGGTATTGCAACCTCGTTCCCAGGGTTCTCTCTTTTTGCTTCGAGAAAGAACCCTGGTTGCGCCGGGTCACGTTGCTCCCAGAATCTGGGAGCCGTAAATACGGGAGGGGAAGAAGAGTAAATAATTGTCGCCATGACAAAAGTTACTCTGTCAAGGCCCGAGAGAAGATCGCCGCCTCCTTTTTTATCAGCTGATGGCGCGGGTATTTCAAAAGGTCAACAAGACCCGAAAAAATAGTATTGCATAAAAAAATACTACTGCTGGGAACGAGGTTAGCTATTGACTTGGTATATCATGCACCAGCCGAAAAATTAACCAAAGCAGATGTTATTCATGTAAACCTGACTATTGCATTACCTTTTCCTTTTCATGAACGGTACGTGCGAAGAATGCAAATTTACCAAAAGCTGGTTTTGCTTGTGCAAATCGAGCAAGATTTTTCGTATCGTGTTGGCAGGAGGGTGAGCAAACCTTTTTAAGGACAAACTCTCTAAAAAAATTACCTGTTTTTCCTTCAGAATAATGTTACTTAACTAGCCGAAAGCGACGCAGTTTGCACGCAACTCAGAAACTCAAGCGCCATTTTGAAGCAAGAATTTTCTCCCTACCCCAGGTGGTATTTCATCGTCCTGTCGACAAAATTTATTTGAGGACCTACCCCTGCTGCGCTTTTTATTGACACACATTTCCACGTGACCAGCCGTAGCCAGGGTTCTTTCTTCGCTCGCGAGCTCGCCGATGTTTTTGAAAGGAACGAAAAGAAAAATAAAACAACGTCTGTTTACAGGCTATCCGAGATTTCACTTTCACGATGTATTAGAGCAGCTGAAAACTAATTTCATACAAATTTTCGCTTCAAAAGGGTTCTTGGTTTTCTGATAGAGTACGATTGAATTTCTAAGCTTCTGCGTGATGCGGCATTTACATGACGGCCAAGAGAGCTGTCAAGTAGGTTAAAAAACTGACTTATTTCAGGGAATTTTGCTATCTAAACAGTTCATGTATTAGGAAAATTATTACTTTAATGTTTATGAGTTCCTCGAAGAATAAATTCACCCTTTGTACCAAAACTCGGTAACAGTAATGTTTCTGTTGGTTTCTTTCCGCTATGTTGGTGCCCATCCGAATGGGTACCAACATGGCGTCTCCATACAAATCTCTATTAATGTTGTGAAAACATTTCTTCGGATATCTCGTATACGAAATATTCCTCTGACCTGAATCCTGGCGAGGGTCTTTGCATATTTACCTCCTTTCATTTCCAGATTCTGGACTTTATCTATTGAATGGTTTTGATTTTTATTTTACTCTATTTTGAATGGCATGACACCGAAAACCAGCAGTTGGAAAGTTGATGGAGGACTGGAGAATTAACCCAATGGACCTTTGGCCATTGGGTATAGCTCGCTCCCTTGGTGTGATGTCGGTACAACAAGTCCACCAGAGCTGAAGCATTTCGTTTATAATAGTAATAACGATAATAATACAAGCTTATTCATATTTATTCAGCAACCGATTTTAGTTTTAGAGCGACATTTGTCTCTGATAACCATAAAATATATTTTTCTTATTTTCACATATTAAGTATTCTTTTAAAACAGCCAATGGTTAAAATAACGATGACAGCATGAAACAAGAAAATACCAACAACCACGACAGTTATCCATCAGTACAAAAATATCTAATGGTATGTGGTAACCGGTTCAGGCAGCACATTGGCAGTCTATAGGCAATTTAGCACATTTTGAGTTGTATTTGGATTGTGGAAAGCCAAACACTACTTGACAGGCGGGGTAACTATAACCTCGATCCATCGCTCTATAACAGGCAACGTGCGCACCATGACAATGGGCCTTGTAGACATATTTCTGCCTGCAGCTATCCCACGTTCTCTCTGTGAAGTGGAAGCACGGGTTACTAGCGTCCCCATTGGTTCTATTGTGTGAAGCGTGTCTGATAGGAGACTCCTCAATGTTTTCGTCAATGCCCTCTTCGGGTTAAAGGACATCGCTTTGAGAATCTTCGTGTTGTAACTGATGAACTAAGGGATGGTTTTGACGAAATGACACTTTTTGCGAAAACGGTTTGGTAAATGACAGGCTGGGACCACACAGTATAATAATAAAGGAAAGAAACAATCGCTGAAATTCCAAAAATAACATATGTGTGTTCAAAAACTGAGTAAAGTACAAAACCGAAACTAAAGGTTATCGACCTGAACCCTGACATTCATTTCAACTGAAAACGGATCGCGTTTTAATTTCTTATCTAAAAATGATTTTTTTTTTTGGAAAAGTACGCTATATTCAAGTATTAAGTGCTGCTAATTCGTCTGGTTACTTTTACTTTTCTCGGCTGCACATCGCACAGAACTTGAACGTTGAATTACAAGTGTGTTTGAATTCCAGTAGTTATTTTGGAAAGCAGAAAATTCATATGTTGCCAGACGAAATTAAATTAAATCAACCTAGGTTGATTCTAAATTAATAACCTTCACTGCAGAGCACCTTACAATCAGTAGGATAAATATTTTTAAATGACTGTAATACATATATTTGTATATTTATATGGTGAAGTTTTCCAGTTAATAAGAGATGAGATGGTAGCTCATAAGGCTCGTGTTTACTAGGATTTATATTCATAAAAATATTCCTGTGTTATGTGCAAGAAGAATGCCGGTACCTAGTTTTCACTATTTTTTGTCATAGTGTAACTTGATGTAAATGTCTGTTTAACACTGTATCATTCAACATGACTCCATGCATCAATAATTCCAGCCCGGTTCCTCAAAAGATGGTTAAGTTTAACCCAGGATTAAGCCGAAGGTTTTCTCCTAAGTTCATGCAACTCGAGCTTACTCTGAGATACAGTAATGATAACACAAAATGTTACTCTAAGCAATACATAGAAAGACTAAACACTGACTAAATGCAAAAACGGAACAAAAATTTTGATCCCATGGTTTAGCGCTAATCGGCCTTTTAAGAACCGGGCCCAACCTTGATTATGAAATCGGGGTTGCCTAACTTACTAATTAAGCGATGTATACTTACTCTGTTCATGTTGATGTATTAAGGTTCTGTTAAAAACTAGGACTACGAGGAAAGCTTGCACTCTCGTCAGGTTTTGTTCTGCAAGGGAAGTTTCATGTCCACAACCACTTACAGCTCCTTTTTTATGGGTGCAAACAACAGGTGGGTAGTAAAAGGCCTAAGGCAAATTACATTTCCTCCGGCTTCTTTTTCTTGTGGAGAAAATCGTTTCAGCAAATCCTGTGATTAGTCAAAGACCAAAAAAACAAGGCCCACACTCATTTTGTAAAGAAAGGATTTATTCTTGTTGTTTAATTGTTCAATTCTGCTTTCGCTGATAGAAATATGAAAAGCCAGTGCAGAAATCCTTTATTCTTTAGTCTTTACTTTTCTAAGCCGTAGTCGGCCTGTTGAATTATTGAGCGTAAACTTATTTGTCAGGTCATAATTGTATTTCGTCTTCAAGTTGTAATTAGTCAACCTGTAAGAGGCCGTTATCCACCTGTGAAGCTTTTGAAAGTAATTAATGTTTTAAAATAAGCTTACGTTTCCACCAATAGCCTTTTAGAAATGATTGTTGTGCTCTGTAATTTGACTCGTTGAGTTATTATGCAATCTGTGTTGCTTCACTAGCTTTCGCTTTCCACGCAAGCGTTTTTAGGGGAGCTTGTATTTCGTCCCTCCCTACAAACGCCTGCTCAACCGAAAACAACATTCCTTTCCCATTGTTTTATTCGCGTGGTAAGTGACCAATCAACAGTTGTGAAATAAAGTGTTGACAGGCTAAACACGACTCATAACCTCGTGGTGATGTAAAAACGTGACCCTAGAGTTACCTTTTTCCTTCTTTTCTTTCTTTCGCTAAGGTTATGCAGTGCACGAAGTATTCTAAAATCTGACTAAATCTTACTTTTTCTGCTCTGAGTCTAACATTTATTAGAGGTTATAAAGCTTTCCCAGTGTTTCATGCAGATCGATCGAGTAATTATCGGGTTACCCTGCGGTCAAGGTCAACTTTCCAGAATTTTGAAAGTACAATGTGATTGGCTAAGCTTTGGAAAGGAATGTTGTTCTCGGTTGAGCAGGCGATTGTGGGGAGGGACGATATACGAGCTCCACTAAAAACGCTTGCGTGGGAGGCTACACTAGCTTAGGCTTAAATACGAGTGCTTTGTAGGAGTTTCTTTGGTTGCATCGTGGTTGCATCTGTGACGTCAGAGGGTAACAGTGCACTGTTACCTGCGAATGTTACCTACAACCGTCGATATGTACAGTGAGGTTTAATGAATTTCCAGCCCCAAAATTTCCAGCTATATAACAAATCACTTAAAGACTGGTCCTTCGAGTAGCAGTCAATTTTGTTTCCCTCGGGACCAGTCATTAAGTGTTTAATGTTCTATCGGTCAGTTACCAGCCTCCCCCTCAGGCGCTTCGTTTTTTACATAGAGGCGATTGCAAAACGCGAGTGACATGCGAGTCACTGGTGACGAGGCGCAAGGGACCATGGAAAGGACAAAAATGAGAGGCGAGGTGACGTCTCGCCCGTTTTCTCTTTCCCGCCTCCCTTTGCGCCCAAATTTTCATGGAGAGAGAGACGTCTGGGTACGAGGCAGAATACTTACAGTTCCAAACAGCGCCTGTAAGCGCAAGTCTGCTACGTGCTGCAATTTCAGAGGTTCCTGTTTACTTAGCATTAAGCTAAAACTGAAGAACCCAGGAAGTTCTACAAAAAGCGCCTTAAATCGTCCAAGGTCAGTGAAATCAGTGAAACTAAATCAATAAATGATTAAAATAGTCAGAGAGGTCAATCCGTTAATTATTCAGTAATAATAGACTTACCAGAGTTGAAACGTCATACAAAGGGTATTTAAGCAACGTTTGGGATGCACGCACGCAAACTTTGCAAGATGACTTTGCTGCTTCTCATCTTGACGTTTGTTCTACCGGTGCTTTCATCTCCATCATATTCTCTTCTTGGTAAGTGTTCACTGGGGCATACCTAGGATTTGACGCCTTAGTCGCTGTATACCCTACAATTCCGAAAATAACGGCTAACTTTTTACCTTTCTATAATTGAATCCCGAAAGTAGCGACCCTTCGAAAATTACCACTACTACAATAAAGTATTGAATGATGAATCTGATGTAACGTTTAAAGCAGTACCTTCGATCTACGTAAAAAGCGAATTTAAAGAGTGTTCAACGTAACATATGTCGTAACCGGAACGAGAAAAAATGTCTCCTTTTTGTTATTTTTAGTGAAAGTCAACTATCAGCCTTTGCCATTCATAACAACGGATCATGATTTAACAACAACGTGTAAAAATCTTTGAACTCTAGCTAGTACCGTATATGCGTATATGCGAAAGTGTGTGAACTAAACAACATGAAGAGTTATTTGTGATTCGATCTCAAAATTATCTGAATCCTTCCTTAAATTATGCATGATTTAAAAGCTGTATTTATGTCAAAAGAGTCAAATGATTGAGTTAAACCGGGATTTAACGCACCTATAACTGACCTTTTGCCCCATAGTACCAACATTTAGGGCCTCTTATATGTTAATATTGTCGTTTTGTTCATGTGGGTAGTAACATACATAAACGGAATGACCTTTAAGTTCATGTTACGTTTCTGAAACGACTGTATATTAGTAATTAGTTTTTTAACCATCCGAAAGTAACGACTACCCGCCGAAAGTAACGGCTACCCTAAAGTAGCGGCTTCCTTTGCCTGCTAGATTCGAAAGTAACGGGGGCCGTTACTTTCGGATTTCTACGGTAATACAGCTGTGGGGGTATTTTTTCCAAATCTTTGTTAATGACGATTTAGTTCGTTCCCAAACTGAGGAGGTACTGACCTTGAAAACCCTATCGAGCCACCTTAATTAAGTAAGACCCATGTGATTTTTAAAGACAAAATCTTATTTGTCCTTTTCATTTCAGTCAATGATCGAATCATTGCACGTTGGACAAATAACCTTTATTATCCTGGCAAGGTTTCGGCAACCGGAAATGGACTGATACATGTTTTGTTCGATGACGGAGACAGGATCACTCACACCGTCCGGGATATTTCAGCAGTAATTCCTGATCAACAACCCAGTCACGTGAAATTAGGGCAACATGTGGTTGCCACGTGGAAAGGGGGTCATAAATACTACATAGGATATGTGTCTCAAATAGTTTCTGGCTCCCGGCCCTTCAAGGTTACCTTTGATGACAACGATGAAGATTACTACCAAGCACATCAGCTGAGGAAGTTTCCGGATCACCAGACAGCTCATGAGGGTAAGGGGAGAGGCTAGGTTTAAGAATATTGTTGGGTTAAGAACCGCTGAATTTTGTCAGTTTTGCGAGGTAAGATATATCTCTGGTGACATTAGGGCCATTTATACGAGGAAAAGTAAGACTCGTCTTATGTAAGACGCGTCTTATTTTTCCTCGTATAAATGGCCCTATTGTTGCTTACCAATTTCTTAACTTAAACTGAAAGCTAAATGGATTCAGGGAGGAATGTATTAACATCGTTCCATATGGGTCATATTCGACCCCTGCCTTCCGAAAAGGATTTAAAGGAGCTGTGTCACGTATTTTTTTTCAAACAGTGGAAACCGTCACCAGATGGAGTCAAACATTTAAATAAACTGTTCAAAACATGAAAAGAAGGTATAAATAACACAGCAAATACAAAAGAAGGCACAGATCGACAAACTTGAAGAAGATTGAAACGGACTGCAATTCTGGTTTTTCGGAAAACTTGTTAGGATAACAGTAATTTTTGTTGTTTGTAATATATTGTCTCAAGTTCCATGACAAAAAAGAGGCGTTGTTGGCATTGATTATTATAAACAAATGGACTAGACAGCCGTGTCACTGCCCCTTTCACAACTGGACTGACGACTGGAGTAATGAATAAGAAGGTCGTAGAGGGGTATTTTCGTGATACGGGATTACCTATTTTTATTTGTCGTGAATCGTGAATTCTTCCTTGACCAAATGGTTGTCATTGCCCTGAGATAAACTCGAATTAATAATCTATATTCGTGATTTTATTACTTAATATTTTCCCCTCAGTGAGTTTCAGTTTCGAGACCCCGAAAGGTAAATAAACACTATGAAAGCATCAAATGAGAATGATGAATTTTTTTAAGTTCCAGTCTTACTTCATTTTTTTTTTTTCGCCACTTTCAAGCTGTGTTTCAGAGACTGCTTTACCACTTTTTTCTTTGCGTAAGAACAAGATAAAAACAGTACTTTACATGCATAGTGAGGTGAATATTTGCATTTAAGTTTATTAAGTTGCATACCGACCCAATAAGCAGCTGCGCTTCTTAACAAGGTTCTAATTCGATCGCTCTGATACTTTCAGTCGGCGCCAGAGTGTTTGCACGCTGGACAAATGGTCTTTACTATCGTGGATTTGTTGCACGGGCAAACTCTTCAACTGTCTTTATTAGATACGATGATGGAGATACCATCATCCTTCACAAGATAGATCGCACGGCAGTAATCCTTGATAAACTTCCATGTTACTCTCATATCAAGCCTGGGCAGCGCGTCATTGGTTTTTGGCCGGGGAGGACACGGTACTACCCTGGTGTGGTGACCTACAAAAGACCAACAGGCCTTGCCAATTGCTATCAGAAGGCTGTATACTACGTGGTTTTTGATGATGGAGATCGGCGAATGCAGGATTTTAACCAGATTCGCATCATTCCATGCATGACTACGGAAACAAATACCAATGAGTCGGTGTAATGTTATAAAGAAAGTCTTTGAAAATAAAACCGCGACATCAGTGTATTCATAAAAATTTTAGAAACAATACTCTGGTTTTGTTATGTACCTAATCATATGATAATAGGTGCGTTTGGCTTGTAATCATGGTTTTTGTATTTGCTGTAATGAAACATCAGTTAGTTAAGTAGGTTTTTCATGATTTGACGTAATGAGGCCATGCCACGGGGCCCCAAACTCGCGAGTAAGAATCGCTGTTGCTTCACAGAAATATTATAAAAATAAATAAGGGTTTGTATGAGGATATTAGCGATCGTTATTTAGGGGTCAAAATAGCATTAAAAATACATTAAAACTTCTTAGCGTTAGCTCCTTGTTTTATTCATGGTGTGTTCTTAGCATTTCTGGCGGTTTCGGCGCGATTCTAGCGAGTTTTAGTTCTGCCGTTGCTCTGAGGTTTCGGTTCCAACAGCAGTAAGATGTATGGCTGAATGTAACAGCTGTTGGAATTAAACCTTATGAAATGGCCCCAAATCGACCCGAAACCTATAGAAAACACAAAACCGCCATAAACAAATTACTAAAAGAGGGTCTCAATGGGGTTAACCGATAGGCGTAAAACGGCTTAAAATTTAGTCGATAGCCGTCAAAATTGAAAAATTCCAACCGTTAGCGGTAAATAGGGTAAAAAGAGTTAACCGTAAAAAAAAAAAATGTTCAGCGAGGTTTGTTAATTTTAAGGAAGGTGCTATACTCACTTATGACAGGCTGCGCGTTTCTTATTTCGCGGGCATTGTATTTTGACTCTGTACCACGATAGGTCAAGCACCTTTTCAGAACCAACGGTAGCCTGCGTGGCAAGGGAACGGGAAGGAGATTCTGGGCGAGCGAGAAGCGCGAAAGGAGCGCGGTGTCACGACCAAATTTCCTTCCCCTTCCCTTTCGAACGCCTGCCACGCAGGTTATATCCAGCCTCCCACGCAGACGTTTTTTCGGCTCGTCACGCAATCCTCCCCAACGTAGGGAAGGAACCCACGAAGGGGACCACCCATTTGACTTTTGAGGGTGGAGGGAGTTATGGGGGATTTCAGAAAAAAATGTATAGCCAAGATACTGCGACTTTTGCCAAGAAAAAGGTCTCCTGAAAATTTCGGTATAAAGAGAATCCGTCTCAGTAGAAATATCTTATGAAAGTACAGCTACTCTATTTCCTCCAACTTTCGTTCGGAGCTCTGCCATCTGACAGGGTAGCTAACAGATTCGTATGAGACGGAAAAAACTAAAACTTTCGAGACCACTAAAGTTCCCCTAAGACATCCGAACAAATAAATAGTTCTTAGGGCAGCTGCAAATTAACCAAACAGACTTTTAAAGCATAGAGAAAACCTTTTACATAATGTCTGGATACATTCGGTCGTTGGGTGCCATCACGACCCTCTGTAATTACGTACCGTTACCGAGATCAATAGACTCAAAGGGCTTGGGCTACCTGTGGTACGCAGCAATCAATTAAAAGACATTTGGTCTTGACCTATAAAAGCTATTAATCAGGATAAACACATATTACGTTCCCCGGGATTACGTTTTGAGGATAAGTTGTATCGGCATACATAATCGACAGGGTGGCAAAGGGAAGTACCTATCACGCATCACGGTGACGTTTTTCAGACCATCACGCACGTCTCTGTGAGAGACTATAAGTATTCGCTAGCATGGTAATATCTCAACCCATTGAATGAGTCAGCTCTAATAAATGTTTTCAGCGTCTTTTTTGGTAGAATTGCGCCCTAACAGTTAATTGAATGACCTTAATTCTACAAAAGGTTTCCCTGAAATCTGGTGTTGTTCAAATATTGACTATTTTATCCATTATTTACTGGTCTGAGAATAGATAGCCTGTGCCAGGCTCTAGGTCGGTGTAGATGAGCGAAAAAAGCGCGCAAGCAGCGAAAAAGCGAGCGAGCGAGCGAAAAACGGTGGTTTTTCGCGCTATTTTTTCCCTCACTAGCTATCGTGGAGCAGGAAGAGGCTAGAGCATAGAGGTTATAATATGATTTTGACAGGAGACCAGGGGAGCTTGAGGAACTAGAAAAAGAACCAAAAATGATGTCATGACTATCTGTTTTTAATGGTTGTCTTTACACTAGGCTGCTAAGTAAGACTTAAGAGCCCTTAAGTTTTACTTAGCCAAAACTGATTCGTGTGTGAAGGCCTAAGTAAGATCTCAAGTAACTTTGCTTTGCATCTCATTAAAGTCGGAAAGTTGAGACGATTCAAGAAAGACTTAGCTGACTTGCGGTTTTGCGGTTTCTTGAGCTTTGAGAAAGGCGAGAAATGTCAATCAGTCTTAATTTTGTTCGGTGGGAAAATAACCTGAAGTAAAAAAGAATCGGTTGTGTGTAAAGCTTTATTTTACTCGAAGTAATTAAAATTTACTTGCCTTGAAATATGTCTTAGCTTATTTAGGCTCTAGTGTAAAGACTACCAATATCTCCTTCTGGTTTCAAGTACGTAATATTCACCAATCACGGAAATCCATGCGTCACGCGTTATGGAAGCAGTAAATCACGTACCACCCCACTGTGCCCAATCACGCCTCAAGCTTCTAATTTGGGCCCGATCACGAATCACCCTGATAATTTGGAACCCATCACGCGTCACGCAAAACCCCTTTGCCACGCTGAATCGACAATTAAATAGTCTTGCGTGGCTGATTTCGATTCAAGCCCGGATTTTCATGTGGATTTGAGCAATTTGGTTCAACTTTATGGAGAAAATTTTAAGGATTCGTCTTTTGTTGCTTCCGTCTACGCGTTAAACGGGATCTTATACAACCGATAATTGATTCCCTGTGTGTGAAATCGTGAGTCTTCATGAACAAGCAATCAAAAGACTAGCAGACGATCCCTTACAGACAAGGTAACAGACTGGAAAACGCAAACCTGGCCAGCTATTGCTGCTAATTTTGAAGATAAGAACTAACGTTAGATTTTATGATAAGTAGGAATTAGAACTACACTTTCGAGGCATGAGTCGATTGGCAAACGTGGCTCATTTCACGGCGTCGGAACATTTAGGCTTGATTTGTACCGCAATTTTCCAATCGATCGAAATCAAGTCCGAAGCTGGTAGAGTCCTGGTGATCGAGCTTAATTTCGACGCGAAATTATCACCAAGAAAGATTTCATTATTGTTTATTCGTTGTTGGCTTTTCATTTTATTTAGACATAAACCAATGTTAACACTGCAGGAAAAACATCGGACGATTGACAAATTTTGTCTGCTTCTCGGTGCGTGACCATCACATCATTATCATAAGCTATCTTTCATTTAAAAACACAAGTGTGATGGATTGCCATGGCAAAATTAAAATCGAACTGGCAATTTAGTCTAAAACAGAAACTAAAAAGGTTAACTAACAAAGAATAAAATTTTCAGTCTTTTTCAAACATTTTTTTTGTTTTCAAGAATTGTTTAAACTTAACTTAGACTAGAAATGCGCGTATCGCAGAACCTCGCGGAGCTCGGGGGAGGGCCATTGAGGGTGGGAGGTCAGGGGAGAAATGGAGTAAATTATGTAACTGGGGAAGGCAAGTCTAATATTGAAAGGTGACATGTACTTAATTTCCTGTGGATTAAATTTGAACCCATTGCTCTGGCTTTAAAAATTAACTGGGGTTGCTGTTGTTAGACTTGTTAAGGAAGCAGGTAGTGAATGCTGCATAGGTCCTTTCCCGTGTTCACCCCATTTGACCCTCCTACATGTGTAATTATGGTCAAAAGGAAATGGGGGTGATAGTGGATAACTGCTGGCTAATATACAGTTGTATTTGCTTAATAAAAGCTAACCCTTAAGTGTAATAATTATTGGTGAAATGTGTCAGTAGTAGTGAGTGGATGGCAATGGTAGGAGATAATGCTGCAGTGCAAACAACAACTAAATGCTGGAAATTAGCCTTAGAAAACTGCCGACATTTGGCGATGCTACCACTGGTTTCCCCATCAAATGACGTCGGAGAAACAAGTGCAGAAATTCCATACTGACGACGCGGGATGGTTGAAATAAATTTGCGATGCGGCAAGACCAATCACAAGCACTACCCAGATCTGGGTAGTGACGCATCATCAGTATGGAATTTCAGCGCTCGTTTCTCAGACGTCATTTGGTGAGGAAACCAGTGGTATCGTCGCCAAATGTCGGCTGTTTTCTCAGGCTAACATTCTTATAATTCTCAGATGAAAAAACCCCCTCAGCTCTTCATGAATAAAACATGTCAGTGCTGTCTGCACTTGTCATCGATGGCAATCGGTTGCCTGGAAACCCATGATGCACTTTGACGCCACTACTCTGGATGACGTCAAGGCGGACACCAACCAAACTCGATAAGAGAAAATCACGCTGGCCTTGTGACGCTCGTGGGAAACACGCCCGCTTCTTTCGAGACGAGATTGTAAACCTCGCGGCGAGGGGCTTCGCGGGGAATTATAGAGAACAAAATACAACTAAAAGCAAAGTGAAGAAATTTAAACGACAATAAATGTCTATATAGCCAAGCGTTAGCGAAAAACCCCAATCCCTTTCAGGAGGAGGTGACATTGCTACTCGCCAATTCGTCATTTGTACAACTCCCATAATACACCTTGTTTGCTTCTAAACTTTTACGCAAGTATTGTCTTCAATTTCTCCTGGAACAACTCCAATACCTAAGAGAAATTAATAGCAAAGGTTATGCAAAATTTTGGGGGATAAACAAGGTGTATTAATTATGGGAGATGTGCAAGTGGCGAATATTTAACGTTTTCTGTTGGAGGGAGTGTTGCTTTAGGCGAGCTTGTTTGCTGAGAGGTAAATTGATAATTCGGTCCATATCGCAACAAATATCTGGTTTAAAACGGTACACTGATGATTGTAAAGAATACCTTGATGGATTTATTGATATTCCTTTGCTGTTTTAAAGGCTAACGATTGAACTGATGCATGATGATGGCAGAATCAGGAATTGAACTGCGACTGACTGAAATTGAAGGTATGTGAGAGAGAAATAACGCACTACAATTTGCAATTACTGGAGAAAAAGAGAAAGGAAGAAAGAGCTTCATCTTGAGGCAATGTCACCTTCTGTTTTATTCTTCAAAACTGACCCTTTTTCTCAATGAAGTAAACGACTCAGGCTGATCAATTTTTACAATTTGATCTTTTTTTCATGTAAATCGATTAAATATATACCAGGTATCGCAGTGATTATTGATTCTTAATTTCGGCCGGATAATGCATTTCTAGCTTTCTCATTGGTTCCCTGAATCCCAGTTACTAGCCGTTATACCTACTTTTGACCTTATATGGAAATTCAATCAAAATAAGTGCGCCGTCCTCCCGCACCAAGTGTCAACCCGAGTATTCTAACATGACTCTAAGGTCTTCTCGTCATTTTTCTATATTTGATTTGGTTTTCTTTGTGCTCAAGTCTCTTCTGGGAATTTCAAGACAATGGAATCGTGAAAAATTATATTGGCAATTTTGTCCCTAAAGCCTCGGAGTCATGTTAGAATTAAAATATATCGAACGTTGGCCGTTACAGAGGATGTTTTGTAAATTTAAATGAAATTGCCAGAAAGCGAAGGTTGAGAATTACATAAACCAATTATTCTATAGAGCGCGCGAGTTTACATGACGTGACGTGATGAAAGGTCGATCCTGGATGTCCCAAACCAGGCGCCCGTTTCTCGAAACACCCGAAAACTTTTCAGGCCGGAAGGCAAACAAGTTTTAAAATGAAAACCAAGGCCGATAAGCGCAAATTCAGGATTAATATTTTGTTCAGGTTTTGTATTTTACCTTCCTATGTATTGCTCAGAGTAATATTTTGTGTTATCATTAGCGTATCTGGGAGTGAAGGCTCAACGGTATTTTGCAAGATCGAGATGCGTGTTCTTAGACAATAAAACCTTGCTTAAAATTTGGCTTAATCCTGGGTTAAACCTAACCATCTTTGAATAGTAGCACAGTCCCTAGCCCAAAAACCAGTCAAATTTGCTTCGTTACCTGATAGTTTCATTGTAATATTTTCAAAATAATTGAAACTTTGATCCTGAATGCAAACACAACAAAGACAAAACAGCTTTTCAGGCCGGCCGAAAAGTCACCGGGACCTTCGAGAAACAGTTCCCACTCTTATGGGAGTTAGACTATTTTCTTGTGTAAACACTTTTTTCTTTTCCAAAGAATTTGCATAGATGCTGGCCACTTGAGTGAAAACGCTCGAAGGATAAGAGATTGGTTGTAGCCAACTCGGCGCTTTACACCTTGTTGGTTATTTGCTACCTCGTATCCAACGCGGGCTTGTGGTAGGAACGTTATTCGGTTGACAATATATTATATTGATCATTGCCTTTTTACCCCAATTTAACTCAGATTTTGAGGAATCTTTAAGAGATGTATTAAAACAAGAGGACTTTACAAAAATCAACGAAAAGATAAGAGCCAAAGCACTGACACAATGTAAGAAGAACTGTTTGTTTATGTCAATGGAGGTGAGTTTATCGATATAGAGTATTTTCACATGACGTAACGGCGGCCATATTGGTGTCCCAAGACAATGAGACCCCTTTTATGCTCTCTGGCCTCGGCCTCTCTGACTTGTGAAAAAGTCTATCTTAGTAGTAACCTCTTCCTCAGGTTTTTGTTTTGTTGTTGTTGTTGTTCTTGTTGTTTCTTTCGTCTCTCACCAAGATAGAGATAACACAAGACGCTCAGAGATTAAAAACAAACTGATTTAAAGCGCTGAAGTAACATATATAACGTTTTCAGCAAAGAAATCATCACTTTAAGAAGTATTTTTCATCGCTAGACAAACCGTTCAAAAAATCTTGAATTTCGTTGAACAAACGTGTGCCAAAATGGCGTACAATTTCCAAACTACCTTCAAGGCAAAGGGAATTATTAGTAACGAGTCATTATTAACGAGTTTGAGAACGTTTATGCAGTCGACCGCTTCAATTTGAATCAAAATGAACCCTTGACGAAACACTGTATGCACTCTACGTTAAAAGACCCGTATGATAGAACTGCGAGAAAGTATACTTGCTTGTTTGTTTGCTTAGTTTGTTTGTTTACACCGCCTACCTGCTTTTTTTTCCAAGGTGAGCTATGAACTTCGTCGTTTAGCAAGTAGAAAGCTACCAAATGTAGATGACGTAGCCAATATGGCGTCTTCAGTTGAAGAGTTCACCAACCGTCTGATCGATCCTCTGAAGTCTGATATCAACCTCGGGCTCCGTGCGCGTTTCGAAAGTTGTTTTGATGATGTGATGGAGAATGCTATAGCATTTGAGCAAAAAAAGGTGCGTACTGAAGCAAGGTTTTTTAATATATATTCCACTAAATACCTCACCGCGAGGTGGTGTAGAATTGGATGAGTTACAATCTTAATGTATAGCGAATCTTTGGTTCTTGGAAGCCTGATCATCTCTTTCGATCTGTTGTGCTATCTATTTACACGAAACTCCTCCATTGTGATTTATCTTTGACCTTTTGATTCCCGGCTCTTCGTTGGATCGAATCCATCATAATCAGACATGTAGGAGTAATTTAAAGCAAAAAGTTGCGGGTTTTTGCTGTTATAGTGGCTCTGACCAAGTGCTAGGGTGCGAAACACCAGCTTTTGAATATGATTATGGTAAATTGGCATCAACTCTGCTCAGATTAATCGTAATTGGCTCTTCGCCTTTGGGGAACGTGATGGTAATGATAATGATGATTAGTATTACTGCTCCCGCAGGGATTTCGCCTAGAAGGCGAATTCCCGAGGAGGCACTCTGACTAGTAGTTTGCGCGTATATTAACACGAGTTCACAAATCTTTGATTGGAAACGCGTGAACGTGAATTGATCAAACCTTTGAATTTCTAAGGCTTACTTTCCGGCAAATAAAATGAACTGTATGTAAAAAGTAAAAAGAAATAGCGAAAACTGGGGATTCCAACTTCTAATTAAATCTTTTCTTATGGCTTACAGTAAACTATTCTCTTTGATCAAAGCTGTGTAAATTGAACTGAATCAGTGCATGGAACGTTTCCTGTTTTCTCTCACCTATTGTATGGAATATGTGTGAAAATCTTCATTATAAATCGATATATTTCAAAGAGCTACTGAACGACTAAGAATACTATTGACCGACAATATACAGCGCGGGGGCAGCTGTAGTGTCAAGTGCCGTGCAAGGACTAGACATTAAAAGTTGTTTTTAACGACTTTTTGCAGTTTTATCCATCCAGTCATTGATAATATGAAAAACAACAGATGGTATGGTGATATTGGTAAGATCTGGACTTATTCTTATTTCACTGTTGCCCGATGGATATGGATATTTCTTGACGTCTGGTGCTTGTTTGACTTGGTGTTATTTCAGTTGTTTTCACTGTGCTATTTATTGTTCATATTGCAAGAGGAAGAAGCTCACATCTCGCCGGTGAGTTTTCTTTTAATTTTTCCCTGTTAGCGTTAAGGCTCTTCATAGATCACATAAAATAATTAAAGCATGATTTTCTTGTCCTGCAAACTTGGTTACCGAGAATTACATGTAGCTGTGGGTTTTGCGGGTTCTTGAGGATTTATGGAGATTAGTTGTTATGTACTGGGGTCTGAATTTGCGATCAGAACACAGCGCTAAGACGACAACAACATCTGTAAATTTAATGAAACGATCAAGATGAATCCACTCTTAAATTCAACTTTTGCTATGGCGTCATCACTTCAACAAGGTCATTCAAGGGGAACTAAGGGCTGGGTAACGAGTTCAAGTCTCAATTGTTCAAAAGGTGAATAAGCTAGATGCGCTATCCACCTCTACCCAGTGTATAATGCAACTGGTTTCCGGTTCCCTAAAACTTTAGTGACAGTTTATCAGGCCCGTAGTTGTTCAAAAGCTGGATAGCGCTATCCATCGGATAAATCACTACCAAGTGGATAAATATTAGGGAAACCAATTGCCCTATCCAGTGGATCGAGATTTATCGGGCCCCGGTCGTTCAAACGTTGGATAGAGCTATCCATCGGATAAATCACTATCCAGCGGATAAGTATTAGGAAAACCGATTGCACCATCCACTGAAGAGATATTTATCCACTGGGTACCGCTATCCAACGTTTGAACAACCGGGGCCTGGTGGATAGCGCTAACCACCTTTTGAAAACTGGGACCTGGGCCCGGTTGTTGAAAAGATGGATAACACTATCCACTGGATAAATCACTAGCCAGTGGATAATTAGTATTTGGAAAGCCAATTGCACTATCCAGTGTGGACAGTGATTTATCCTGTGGATAGCGCTATTTATCACCTTTTGAAAACTGTGACCTGGCCCCAGTTCTTCAAAAGTTGGATAGCGCTATCCAACGGATAAATCACTATCCCACGGATAACTGTAAGGGAAACCAATTGCGCTATCCAGTGGATAGTGATTTATCCAACACCGCGGCAAAACGTCTACGCATGCGCCAGGTTAAGCATTTCCGGTCTCTTTTTCAGTCACACTTTCCGGTCAGATCAAAGTCTCCCGCGCGCGCTCGGCTTGATTCTGTGTGCAGCTTGTGGTTCAGTTGTTCTGCTTCATGCTGCTCGTGTTTTTGACTATTTTGTAGTTATTGAAATTGCTTTTATGGATAACCAGGCACAGATCACTGAAACAATTAGTCGTATAGATTCAGAAAAGGTAAGATGATTACTGATAACTCAGTGTGAAAGTTTGGCTAGAGCGTCAGGTAAACTGATTTTCATTCACGAAAACAAAGTTTTTGACTGTTATTTTTCACTTAACCTGGCTGAAACTAAGACATAAAAAGTTATCATTGCAAGCTTGTATATTGTAGTTCTAATTTTCAGTTCTTCAGTTTCTCAGTCTTCATGTGTTAAAGCCGATTCGAGCTTCATTTGGAAAACGACAACACACAATCGCTTTGTAGTTTTATTTACCAGTGAGTTACCGTGTTTTGAAACGAAACTCTTCTGAGTTGATTGCCATGAAACAAGCTTAATTATACTGTTGAGGTTGGCAGCAAGTTGACAACTCTATTAATTTTTTTCATTCTCAGAATCAGAGAGCGAAAGCTGGTTCGATGGCTTTTAGAAGTCGAACTTTTCATGCCATGTATTTAGCAGCTGGAAGTTTCGTGTTTGCATGAGATGCAGCCGAGCCGCACAGTCTGAAATTCTTCAACCAAAGAACAACCGTGTAAAAGAATTAAATAGGCATTTTCTTGAATGAAAGTCATTTATAGGCATGTTTAGTTTCCCGGCACTGAAAACTCCGGGTGTTTGTGAATGCAGTCATGAAAGTCGAAGTTGTTATTAAATCCCGCCCATCTCTTGTTTTGAGGTCTTGTTTTCTCCGATAATAAAAAAATTATTAAACGGACTAAAATTTTATTTCCTGGTTTTAGTGTTAATGATAATGATGACGTCTTTATTTTGGTTTCTTTCATACGCATTGTTACTCTTTTCTTAGTTGTCGCCTTCTCCCATAACTTCTGCCAAACCAGTAGCATGCAAGAAAGCCAGTAAACACAAATTCGTGGTGTCGAGCGCTCGCGACCTGCAAACTTCAAACATCATTTTCACCTTTGGTGCAAACAGATAACCATGTGGTGCAAAGGTTTGACGCTAGAAAAATATATAAGCTTTCGAATGAAGTGATTTTTTTCGCCCCCTTTTTTGTCTGTTACTCCCTTTTTGCTTTTAAACTTGGTGCGACGGCAATGTTATGCTTACGCAATTGGTTTATATACTAGACCGGAAATAAAAAGCTGACCGGATGTTAAATTTTGTGCTCATGCGCAGTGCGTTTTGCCGCGGTGTTGATTTATCCAATGGATTTTCCAATGGATAGCGTTATCTACCTTTTGAACAACTGGGGTCCTGGTGGATAGTGCTATCCAACGTTTGAACAACTGGAGTCATAAGGATACATGTATGATGCGAAAAGGAGTCAAAAGGTCTTACCCTGTTTTTTGTTTGTTTGTTTGCTGTTGTTTTCTACTTTGAATGTTTTAGAACCAAGGCAAAAGGATTTGTATGGTAAGATGCATTTCTCAATATATGTAAGTTCTAGCCGACTATATAGTTTTGCCGATTCTTTAGTTGTGATGGAGAGAAGAAAATTAAAGCCCACTTGAGGTGTAAATGAAGAGCCTTTCGCTTTTGAATACATTGGAACCTCTATTCAGGAGTCACCTTTGGGACCAAGGAAAGTGTCCCCTGAATGGAGGCTGGGCTGGGATCTGTTAATAATTAACCAACAAAGAAAATATTTTTAATAGAGCCCAAAGAGGCGTCTGCTCCCGCAGGCCAGGGAATCTTCAGCAGTCGTTATTTCAAGCAGCTAGATAATGTATAAATTGTTGAATTCTCACAACTGCAGTTCATTGATTTAAGTGAGTTAATTTATGTTTTGAAAGCTGTCGCCATTGTGACTAGTGAACACTTAACTTATCAATGATTCAGTGGTCAGTCACTTTTTGATTGTCAAGGTGTCCCCTGAATGGCGATTAAACCGAAGTTGAGGGACCCAGAAAAAGTGTCCCTTTCCTTTGAATAGACGGTGTCCCTTCAGTAGAGGTTACAAACATAAAGATTATGTACTGTGAACATTTTTCCAGGACCAAATTTTGTGTCCCCTGAACGGAGGTGTCCCTCTGATAGCGGTGTCCCAAAGGAGATTCGGTTCCACTGTATGTAGTGCGAAATGCCAGAAATACTTTTGTAACACTGTTATGAACTAATTGGTCAAATTTGAGGCCAGTTTCTCCACATTTACCTCACGTTAAATTTAACTGAAGAAACAACAAATTAATACATTACAGGGAGACACCTTAATATTAGTATTTGTTTTTTTTTTTCAGAGAATTATCGCGATTACTTTACAACACCTTACTTCATCTTCATCCGGGACACTTTGAGCTATCTGGCGTTACTAGGACTCCATTTCGCCGTCTGTCTGAGCCCAAGCAGTATCGAGATGACTGGCCTAGAGTGGGCCATCATGGTCTTTTTTATGGGTCGAACCTTACTGGAGATTCAACAGTTACGTGCCATATACATAGACATGAAACGGTACAAACAACGCGAGTTGAAGATGAATCAAAGACTGAAAGAAAGTTTTCAGGTTTACACCAGGTAAGTAATTTCAAACGGCGCTGGAAAAGAAAGACTTTTAATCTGCACAGTTTTGTTGCATGGTCGAGAGTTATCTTCAAGTTCCCACTAGCAGAGTTTTCATTTTCTTTTGCAATTTACAAAAGAGACTGCCAGTCTGAATCAAATGTTGTTTGCATGATCTAAACATTTGCCGTTCATGATAGTAGACGAAACAAATTAGTTTCTTCGTTCTACTACCCATGAGGGCACAAAAAAAACAAATCGATGGCGCCAGAAGCAAATCACTCACAACAAGTAAAGCTACAGCAAAAGGGGCAACAAAGACGTGTAACCTGCTTTGCAGCATTGCTGCAGATCGTGTTGAAAAGCGATGATATGTTGCGAGTTTTACCACCCACGTTCAAATCTGTTTTGCAATAAAGGTTGCTGCGAGTTGCTTGAAAACTGACTTCTGATTGGATAAAATAAAGCGGGAGTCATGCCATACACGGGATTTACGTCACCTGCAGCAAGACAAGTTTGCCTTGGGCTGGTAAAATTTTTTGCAAGACAGGTTTAAACGTTGGTGGTAAAACGCACAACATCTCTTCTGAACGACACTTTCACTCGTTAAAAAAGGAATATTGTTTCTTCTTGTTGCTCAAGATTTATTTTCTTTGCGCTTGTAAACGTAAGCCCACTTATGAAATCACACTTTTCAAACGCAAACTACTCACATTAAAACTAATTCCTCACAGCAAAAACAAATTACTTACATAAAAACAAATAACTCTCAATTAAAAAACCATGAAAAGTAAATCACTCACAACAAATTGAAACCGATCACCGTGAGCAAAACCAAATCTATCATAGCAAACTAAATTGACTGATCACAGGCTTAATATCTTCAGTTTGTATCGATGGACGCTCAAGTTAAAACCAGGGTTAAACTGCATACATGGATAGCTTTTTCACCAATGCAATATTTCTTACCAGTTTTTTATCAGATCAAACCAAGTTTATACTGATAGACCACCGAAGCATACCAGTTTTCCTTTACCTGTGCGACGCGCCAGGGAGGTTCAAAATCTAGAAGTTTAAATTAATGATTAGAAGTCTTTTCCTTCATATGCAACTCCAACCTCAAAGCTCTGGGTGGCCACAGTATGCGAGAAAGTTATGCGAATAGTTCAGTAGGGTAGGCGGGGACCTCGTGTTGCTTGTTCACACTCTGTAATTCTAATTTTTTTACGGCCGGCTGGTCCTGGTTTTTGAAATACAGTCCGTAGTCCTCATATCCAAAAGCTGGGATTCCTTTTTCAGGGGAAGAAGATGCAAAAATTTTTGTCGGAAAAACTAAGGTCGATAAGGAAATAAATCTTGAGAAATAAAAAGATATTTCCTTTTTAAAGAGTCATGTTATGTTCTGGGTGACCTATCTGGCGTTGTCTTGTGATGTTTCTTCAGAGATAATTATGTTGCATGATTTTAAGACAAGTTGGGACTTAAAGAAAAATCAAAACGAGCAGATTCAGTCTATTGACAAATAGCAAGTAACCAGCAACCCAACCTCGTTCCAAGGCTTCCCTCCTACTCGGTCCCGGAAATAGAAAGCAACGCTATCTTTTTAGTTGATGCACTATAACTTCAAAGGAACTCATTAATTTACCTTTTTTTCAATCCTCACAACAGGAGTAGCTGGAACTGTTTGGACCTCGTCACTCTTATCGTGTACGGATGCGCATTTTTCCTTAAGATTGCCATATGGTCGTCACCTACTACGACAGTGGTGAACAATCGACCTCTCATTGTTAGTGGTTACCTTTACGGCCTCAATACAATGATTCTTACCTTCAGAGTATTTGGACAGGTGATGGAGACAGTCAAAGGACTTGGAACTATTCAAATAGCTTTGTTCAGCATCATCAGTGACGTTGCCACAATATTTTGGCAGTTTGCAGCAGCAATATTGGCATTTTCATTCGCCATAACTAAAGTTTACATGACGGAAATTTCTTTTATTCGGACGAGATTTAATGGGACAGACGCGTAAGTATGTTTTTGAAACCTTAAACATTTATATCCTTCGTCTGACAATAAAGAAATTGTATTATTCGGTAATAATCCACTTACCTCATCGTTTTATTTTCAGGGTCTGCAAAACTTCTGGACAATCTTGGTAAGTTGCTTTCCTTCCCTATCAAATAAATTGTGTATTCTAAAGTAGTTATTTTGGCCTCTTTTTTGCGAGATAAATCTTCGGACAAAACAGTCATCGGCTGCGAGGAGTGAACAGGAAATTTTGAATTTATGTAACAAGGTAACGAATTATTTGAAGAATGTTTATATAACGTTTTGGGCAAAAACTTTGCAGAGACGAGAAGTTACAGAAGTTAATAGAATTAACTAACCGCTTTGGACAGGGGAGTTAGAAAACCTGTTCATACTGATCAAGTTTCAAACCAAAATAAGGTTTCTTTAAAAAGTATGTCTGGCGAAAATTCAAATCTTTTTTGTTCCTTACGCATTTCAGTTGGTGGTTGACAGCAAAACACCTTTGTTGGTCCCTACTTGGAATGGCGGAAGTAGATTCATTGAACTCAGTTGACGAGGCAACAGTGACACTATGTAAAGTCTTATATGCGATATATCTGGTCGTGGCTGGTGTTCTACTTATGAACATGATGATTGCCCTGTTATCAAACACTTACCAAAGAGTAGAGGTAAGTATAAACCATTATTAACCGTCAGTAGACCCAGTCAAAATTCACGGACGAATACAAAATTTCGTTTTAAAAAAATGCTGAAAAACATACAGAACCATGCAACAGTGTAACAGTACTGCTGAAGAGGTTTAATTTGAATGGCAACACCATAGGATCTCTTCAGCACACTCAGAAGTTAGAGCTACAAACAAATTAAATAGTTCTATGTGAAAAGTATACTGCTGAATGGTCACACCATAGGAATTGGTCATAGGCTTGAAAATTAAAACCGCCTTTTAGCGTAATAAGCTTCTATTTGAATTGTTGCCTCGAAGGGCTTTGGCCAGAGACACAAATGTAGAGATATATTCCGGCGCGTGTCTTCATATTTTAACCCTTCAAGTCCCAAGAGGGACAAACAACAATTTTTCGGATCAATTTAGGTTTCTGAGAAACTGCCCTCCTACCCCTCCCCTAACCCATCATTTTGCCCAAAGTGAGAATTAAGTGTTAATGTTAGCTTAGGGGAGGGGTAGGTGGGCAGTTTCCCTGAAACCTAAATTGATCCCAATTTTCTCCTTACAATGATGATACATCAATAAGAGAAAAGGTTATGAGAATGAATAAAATGATCACCAAAGGGAAAATGCTTTGATCATGTTTTGAATTCTTTCAACCAGTTCTTTAGGGAAATGCATGGAGATCAGTCTGGAGAATTTGCATACTGATATTGGGGCGTTAAGGGTTAATGCTATAAGGGGGTGAGGTTTTAAGGAAACTGAGGTGTTGCCTCTGTGGGGGAATAAAACATCAAACGAGTTATCAAAGCGTTTATGTAACATCGTTTTTCAGTTCTCACAATTGCGTGACTGAGCTCTTGTGACAATTCTAAGTCTGCCTATTAAATATAAAACTGTTTTTTTTTTATTTTCCAGGAAAACTCTCTAAAGGAGTGGTCTTTCAAGAAAGCCATTACAGTTCAAACATACACTTACTTGCACCCAGTTCCTGTACCGCTCAACATTATAAGCAGTATTGTTATGGGCGTGGTCTGCCTGTGCAAAAAACGTATTGGAAGGTGCCCCTGTGCGCGCGAATGCCGTGGTTTCTTAACTCCCGAAGACGATCAGCCCAGAGTAAGTGTAATTTCAAACCCGTTTCAAACCCTTCGCGTTTTCCTTTTCTCTTTATTTTCAATCTCTCAAGTCGTTTAAAATGAAAGAATTACAACTAAGAATTTCCACGTTCTATACTTCAAATCTCCGAACATTTTCTATCATACTGTATATACTCGTCCACAGTCCATAAGGTGTAGTAAATTATTGCTAATCCAAGCAGTATATGTGCAGGGTTCTTGAAACACCATGACTACCATAGTTCAGTGGCTACAGCACGGAGATCATTTGTTCGAATTCCCGCACGCCGTTGCAGCATTTTCAATGCAGACTCCTGTTAAGAAGTAACTTGAGTGTCAGGCCTTCCTAAGACACTGAGGGAGAGGAGATTTTTCGCTTCTCTCCTCCCCCTTTCCCCCCAGAAACGCCTAATTCTCATGCTAGTCAGGACGTTGTTAAGATCTTCGGTCTCCATAGTCTTCTACGCAGCTGTTGTTTTCTGGTGACCAAACGCGCCACCTCAAAGGAGAAAGTATAAAAGTAAAAGTCCTCCTTTGGGGAGGGACGTTGGGTGACGAAAGTCACCCAAAAGCCTGCATGGGAGACAAGTGTCCCCAGTCTACTAGCGCCGGCGGTTTGCTGTAACTTGAGAACACAGCCGACATTTCGCAACGCCACCATTAGTTTCCTTTCGAAGTGACGTCTGAGGGCTAGCACAGAAATTCACAGGCCCAGAACCGGGTACTGCTTCTTATTTGTCCTGCCACGAGGGAATTTACTTCAGCCAATCAGAAGCACTACATAGATCCGGGTAGTGGCACGTCATCGGTGTGAAAGTTCTGCAGCCGTTCCTCGGTCGTCATTTCATAGGGTAACCTGAGTGGTTGCGTCGCGAAATGTCGGACTAGGTTTGCTGCAGCCACTCGGTTCAGTTTGACGTTATATTATATTTGTTTCAGGATCGACTTGATGTCATCGTTGAAGATCTCCAAAACACTTACTTCACAACTTATGGAGACGCATTCCCAGGAACGGGTTTGTGTTAATATCCTTATGCCATATCTATGTTCTGAATTTAGTCACTTTTAAAATCAACAATAGTAAAATCTCCTGCGTTGTAATTGTGCTGAGAACCCTTTAATAACCACAGAACAATGCTGGTATGCTCCCTAAAAAGAGAACATTAACAAATTAAGAAGGTTTGTTGGCTTTAAAGTAGTTGACGTTGTGAAATATTTTAGTGAAAAGTGTATCGAGAGAGACGTTTACCCGGCATGACAGTCAAAAGAGGTTGAATCTGGCCTGACCTGCTTTCACTGTGCTTTGAACCCGTTATTTCATTCCCTGGAATATTTTTTAAAGGTACCATATGCTATGAAAAATACATTATTTTGGGAAGCAAAAGGTGATGGCGGGAAATTTCATGTCCATTAATTATGAAGAAAAATTGCCATCAGAGAGCCAGGGGTAGCTAATTGAGAAGAGAAGCGGGGTTGAAATCATTGCCAGCAAAATTCACGAGATGACTAGAGAGTCCCTATAACTTTCTCTTACCGAACTGGCTGGTGTGGAAATAAAATTTACACTTGGGGTTTTCCGGTTCTTCGTGTAAACGTTTCCTGCGAAGATTTCGCTCGTGGGTGTTTCATCCCAGTTAGCTGTCCCTGGTTCAACGAAGATGCGCCTAGCGCATGTTCAGAACGGTTGCAAAATATAACTCTTGACTAGAATAGGCAGTTCCCGCTAAAGTGCGTGATTAAAGGTACAAAATCTAGCCTTTTTATGAAATTGCCTATGCAAGCCTCGACCTTAATTCATTCTGTTTCTGAATATGGGAAAACTTGCCCGATTTTGGCAAACTCGAGAAAGACATGCATGAATCGAGTAAGATCTTTGTTGAGCTTGTCTTGCCTGTTGCTAGCATACAATTTTCAACCCAGGCTTAATAGCTGTGAGCATGGCACATCGGGCTTAAGTTAGTTATGACCATCGATAAATCAATAAACGGATGCTCGCACTCGGAAAACCAAGTTTTTCTCCACTGAAGAAGACGAAAGGAGACTCTGCAAGCAGGGTAGAAAACTATCAACAAGTGTGGTTTATATAAAGAGTGCATAAAAATGACGGCTCCTCTGTTAATAGCACGCGCCACAGACGAAACTAAACTCTGTTAAAGTCCGTCAGCGAAACAGCGCCGAAATTCTTGTTCTATTACGCGCCATGATTGGCCTGTTAAAAAAGCCACCGTCAGTTTGCCAATCAGATTAAAAGAAATTCGAAACGCACTTCCGGTAATTCGTTGAGTCAGTTGGGGGCCCAAAACAAGAATCTCCGCGGCGCTTCTTCGCAGACGTTACTTCCCTGGGTTAAATTACGTCTGCGACGCAGGCTGCTCTGTTAACAACTCCGCTAATATTTGTTGAATGCAGAAGAAAGAAAGTTGGAAAAACCGCTGGATGAAGCAGAGGGAAATGGAGAAATTACCGATCAAATTGCAAATCAAGCATTGGCGAGTAAGGTAACTGTAGGTTTTATTGTAGTGTGGACGCATGACGAACTCGGTCTCACTGATTACTCTGTTTAGTTAAGGGTTGGGAGCGGCTGTAGAATTAGCAGCCACAAAGTACTGTGTCGTTACGATATTCAATGGTAACGAGTTTTCACAGACGCCTTTTTCTAGCGTGCGTCTGACAGTTCCCCCTGGAGGTTTGACAGGTCAACTGATCAAGGAAATTCAACTTTGCAAGACACCAACATGGCACCCAAAAAAGTAGGAGTATAGCGCTGGGCTGCTGTTTCCATTAACTGGAGCTCGCAGCGCCGTATACAGCTATTCCGAGAAAGGTTGTCGGAAAAAATGTGCGCGCGACAATCCCGAAAGGTAAAATGGGATGTGATCAATACACTGTTCCTGACGCTGTAGCTGTCGAACATAATTTTGTTGCTTTCCTTTAGCACTCACAAACATTCGTCCAGGGGCTTTCGTGACATTCTTTCAAACTTCTTTGAAGAACAGTAAACTCAAAACCACCCACAATACCTTTCAGGATTGTTGCGTGCACTTTTTCCGACAACCTTTCTGAAATAGCTGTTAATTTGTAAAATAATTTAATAGTACTCGCACGAATCTCTCGGATGTTCACCATGTTTGTACCTAGGACGCACAGAAACAAACCTTGGACAGTAACTTGCCCCCAAAAAAGAAACTTAAAACCATACACAGCATATCGAGCATCACATACATCAGACCTACGGTCTCAAAAAATTGCGTTAGGTAATTGCACTCATGTTGGTAAGGGGTGGGCTGCCCGGCGGGCTGTAAAACCATAACCCAGCTCATACTACACTGGTTGATCTATCTCGCTGTATTTGGACTTTTTTTTACAGCCATACATGTATCTGTCCTTTTTTCCGCAGACAAGTCGGGCTGGCAATGGGGACGTTCCTGTGCAGCAAGATCTGGACAGTGAAGACGTTGTATTGAGTGAAACAATTAGCTGCAAAACAACATCAGCAGCTGAAGCAAGTGATAGCGATAAAGAAGCTATTCGTACTGAACTAGACGATGCTTTCGCATCTTTTCGACGACTGAGGAATAATTTCTTAGTAAACTTTAGAAACTTTGAAGATTTGTTTCATGACAGACAGAGAGAATTAGCAAAGCTAGCCAGTAAAAGTGGTAAAGACGAGAGCGAAGTCATCCTTCGTAACCTAGACAAACAAGAACTTGAGTGCTCTAACATGGTGAAAAAAATGAAGCAAGATTTAGACAAACTTGGCGAAATTTCAAATGAGAAATCTAAGGTACATGGTCTTCTTGAAAAGCAAGTCAAAGGAGAAGAGATATTATAAAAGCTGATAGAATGATTGCGCAGTGTAAAGAAAAAGTCAATTGAATAGACCTCTTTAGCTTGTATGTTTTGTTTTCCCAATGTTGGCTGGTCATGTAATAATACTCTTGAGAACTGTTCTTTTTATTACTTCTATACACGCATAATTCATAAAAAAATAAAGGGCAAATCCCTAAGACTATGTTATTAGGCACACTACGGCGGACAGCTTTTCGTACTGACACTTAAAGCAATCCGGTATAGTATGAACACCCATCCGATATGTGACTCTACACTTTTAATTAGAGATCGGCGCAGCACAGCTTCGCTCCGTTACAGAAATCACGCCGAAATCACCGTTCCTATGCGTGAACAGAAGACCTAACCGGTATGATTTTCGTGCCGGCGTAAAAACTATCTGGTATAGAGTGAACACAGCCTAAGATCTTCATTGGGAAAACAAAAAAAAAACAGCTAAAGAGGTCTATTGAGCACAAGCTTAAATGCGCTAAACTTGGATTCAAATTCAGATTAGTTTTTCTTTGTACTTAAACACGTTCAACAGTTTAACTTACGTCGTAACCATTCACATATGAAGATTTACGCCGATTTTCATGATAATAAATTAAAATGTGCGCAATATATAGAGAGGATATTACACGGGGGCGCGAAGATATGAATTTTATTTTCGAGTGGCAAAACAATATTTTACGAACGAGCGCAGTGAGTGAGTAAAATATTGTTTTTGTCACGAGAAAATAAAATTCATATCTTCAAGCTGCCGTGTAATGTATTTTTTATTATGTAGACAAAAAGACATCGATAAAATAGTAGAGGGAAATTACCGAAATTACGTCATCGATAAACTCACGTGTGAGATGATGGAAAATAAACCACTGGGGTCCCGGATGTAGTTTTTATGAATTTTTCGAGTGGTATATTTTCCAGTAAAACACTCGTGTCTATATAATAAATATATATATTATTTTTGAATTGGTCACTGCAACGTGCAAGCGATTGGCGTATAAATTACAAATATGTTTTACGTTAAAAGTGAAAATAAAGTAGAATTATTACGTAGATTTACTATTATGTTGACAAATATGTAAAGCAATAATATGGTCAGCGAGCTATTGCTGAAATATTAAAAAGATCTTATAAAAGCGAAAGCAAAAAAGAGTAACAAACCAGCGAAGAATGACCGATATATTTAGAAGGGTTTTTGACCTAGCTTACGAGATCCGCCACTGCCTCGATCAACAGAAATGTCCTTTCTTGTCCGTTTAAATAAAGGGAGGAAGGTCTCAAAAGGCGGAACACGGCTCGCGGCAAATGTTTGTTCTGTATTCGGTTTACATGCAGTGGGTTGCACCTGTCAATATCGCTCGCCAGTTGAGAGATCAGAAGGGCCCAAACTGCATTTTTATGATTGTCGCCCGCCGTCTTTTCTTTCTTCTCTACTTGGTAACCACACTGACCAAAATTTCTGCAAGTAAACCCAGTGAAAAGTTTTTCCGCCTTCTAGGATCTTCCTCCATTGTAAACAGCCCGTTCAGCCATTAAACACTAGCCCGAAGACAGGCAGCAAAAATATCGTCAGAAACTAGTTTCCATCAGCTTAGGATCTGTAAAATAATCAATCATCTTCGATGAAATTCCTCAGTAAAATGTGAAGTTAGACGCTTTTACCAGATATACTCACTAAAAATTGGGATACTTCTTTTCAGTGTTTATCGAGAGAGTCGACTTCAGTCAGTAAGTCTATTGTAGGTTGATGTGGTTCTTCCCCCACTTTTCGAATATCATCGACTTTCCCTTGGGGTCCATCCCTCTTCCATCTGGCATAGGGTTATCAAAAGCCACAAACACTTTATTAAGGTAGAATAGTAGAGTACTTTAAATCAACACTAAGCCAATATGCTATGTGTCTCTTTGGGGAAGCTGTAATGCAGGAGTATTCGATGAGATTTGGCGCGTAGTTATGATACTACATGCTCCTTTTCAGGCTAGAACAGTACACTGCCGCTATTTCTGGAACACGAGTCAATCAAATCTGTATTGGAAGGAGACTATTTCTGTTGAAAAAAAGTCTGGAAGGACATGCACCAGATTACCTCTCTGAGTATCGGTTATCTTTGAAATACCACAACTCACATGGCACGAGGTCTCGGTTGTCTTATCGCCTTCCTTTTTTCAGAGCCGTTGGTAAAGAGAGGCGTTTTAAAACACGCCACGCACTTGAAAGGAACCGTGAGCCCATAACCCATGGTTCGTGGGCTCCTACTGAAGAAATAAAGAGAGCAAAATTTGGGAAACTAAAAAAAACAGAAATAAGAAGAACCTATAATCTACATTCTTAAATACTAAAGTACTAAGATAATGAATCATTGAAATACCAAGTTATAAATATAATAACGCTAAAAAAAGGTCCTGTCAAATTCCAAAGCTCTCAGGCGTGAATTTACTCGAATCCTAAAGCACTAAGATAATAAATTAAAATATCAATAACTAACAAAAGATTCTGACAATTTTGAAGCTATCGGGCGTGAATTTACACATGATTAAATCAAAGTAATTTCTTTTCAATTTCTTAACGTCAAAAGGGCAGGCTTAAATTATTGTTACCGGCATTATTCCACAGCTGCCCGGGGGCGCTTCATGCTATTTGTAAGTGGAATATCGTGGCCATTATTATAAGCATTTGAGTCTCTTGATGTATCGATCATGTGACGGGAATTGCCTATTACTTTCACTTTCCATCGTCCGTTTCCAGCAGTTCCGCTTTCGTGTTACTGTAGGTTTTACTAAATCGACTTTCCGCCGATTCATTTCGGCAAGGTGAGTAATTCTGTGTTTGTTTTGCAACTGAACAAGACAGGGGTTAATTCAGTTTCTTTTGACGTAGTTAGCTTGAGGTTTTGTTTGTATGTGGATTCTATCTGTCTTGCATTTGTCGACTTACATGTAATCCTGACTTGTTCGCAGCCCATTAAGACATGTATTAAGAGTTTTCAAAATAGTGCTTGTCACAGTGGTTTTTATGTGTTGAAGAAATGGTTTTACTTGTTATGATTTTCTGGTTCTTTCCGCGACACCATACGTGTAACAGTCGGTGGTAAATAGCCGAATCAGACACCAGGCGACTAGGTCCAAGGAGCTCAGATCACTAACGGTCGGCCTCTCGGGAAACCCTAGTCGAAGCCTTTAAATTACCTAGCCTATGTACAGACCCCCCCCCCACTAAGAAACAATCGATTTTTCCTAAGGGGTGGGGGGAGGGTCTGTACACAGGCTAAAATTATCACGTCCAAACAGTGAATCCTGATATTTTTTAATCCGAATATTTTTTTTCTCACGAACCGGCCTTTCGTCCACACTAAATCAGTGAATCGGCATCTTTTTGAAACCCCTGCTCTCCAGATTAGTTATAGGCCCTGTTCACACGAATCCGGGTAAAACATATACGGTTTCAAAAATGCCTGGATTCGTGTGGACGGGGCTTGAGTGAAATTCAAGATTTTTGGTCAATATTGTTTGGCATTTAAAAGAGAAACAAAAACCTCGATCAGGACGTAGTAATGTACGACATGCAGAAGCAATTGCCTTTAGTTAGAGATTTTGAACATTACGGCCTGATTATTTCAAATCAAAGCCAACTCATGTTGGTTATATATTAGTCTTGATAAAGCCTTTCACTTAACAGAGTATCAGGCAAAACTAATTTTCTCGAGAAATTGAACGGGTGGTTTTAGTGAGACTTCCTGCGTTTCCTGGCGATAACATAAAGAAAGCCCCGGAATCCATAAAATTTTGGCTTGTGGAATCCGGAATACTGAGGTTTGGAATAAAATACCAAATTCTTTATTTGACGAAAACTTTTGAAAACAGATCAAAATTCAAGTAGTAATGTTCAAAATCCTATGACAATTGCCTCAGAGTGTCCATGGTGTCGTACACTACTATAGTCAGGTCCTCCTAGCAATTGTGTTTTAGGCCCACGCGTGGTCGTATTTACGACCCGGACTAGCATAAAAAATACGTACATCTTTGTGTCTCTCTCTCTCTCCGTTCGCGCTTTCAGAGAAATAATCAGTCACATGGCTCCTTTAAGTGACCACTCGATAAAACCTCTACCCACCTTTTATTATCTTGATCCCAAAAATTGCCAAACTTGATGGAGTTCATACTTTCATATTTCGCCCACATCTAAAATGCAGAAACTTTGCCCTTCTTTAGTGTCCTTACTAAGGAGGTTCTAGTTTAATAAATCTTTTAACTCTCAGTGGGTTTTGAATGCTAATCAGCGATAAATCTCAACATTTTTGCATAAGTATAACAAGCTCTTTTCCACAAACTATCATTTGAAAGCAAACTCAAATGTGTATCTCTTACAGGATCAGAAATTGATCATGGAATACTCGCAGGAGCAACTGAACTACTTCAGACTCTGCTACGTAGGATTTGATTTGGTTCCAGTAGGACTGCGGCAAATCTTTAAAAAAGAATGGGATTTTCTTTATAGGACAACTTCATTTGGAGAATGGAAAGATACAGCACAGAATGGTCTTGACTTTTATAAGAAAGAATCTAAGAAAAGCCGCAAGAAAAACGCGCGGTACCTAACGACAATACAGAGTGGAAACACGGCAGAGTGGGACTCTTCCTGTTTGTTTTTTGCCATCCGGTACTCAGACAGCGTTGGTAACACCTTAAGTCCAGCTGTCCAGAAAGAGGTCGATGATATTCGTCTGGTGCGAAACGAGATCGCACATATCACTGAGGCTAAGCTGACAGATGCCGACTTCCAAACTTCTGTAGATAGAGTGTTGAAGATTTTTACATCCCTTGGTCTTGCAACAACTGAGATCCAAGAAATAAAGAATCAGAAGAGCTTTCCAACGAAAGAAGTGGAAAATTTTAAGAAACAAGTTCGTGATCTCCAAGATGAGTTAGATCAGACAAAATGTGACCTGAAGGAAACAAAAAATGCACTTCAGAGTACAGAAGCTGATCTGGTTTCTG